TGATGCTCACCTTCCCGACACAACCACTGAAGACATAGCGGGTGAATAAGCAAATGTGGTGAAGAAAGCTGATGGTGCCCGGCTATCAAAAGATATAGTGTCTGGGGTCTTAAAGGCTTGAAGGTAAACAAGCCATTCATAGTCCCCAGAAATATTGCTTCTTGGTGGAAACAGTTTCACCTTCAGAAGTGATGTATATGAACAAACAAACAAAGCAGCACTGATGTTTGGGTTGCTCTGGTTAGTGTCTCATAAGGTGAAAATGAAGACTTGCCGCCCTTTTATCTTTGGACTTGAGTCCGCTTTGTTTTTAAGTAATTTTTTTATTGTGATTTGAGTGTATAATAATGTCTTGTGTTTTAACTGCTTTCCCCCAGAATTCCAATGGGATTAAATCTCTCTGAAGATGTTCAAACTTCAGTAGAGTACCAATTAAAGGAATTTGCCCATTTTCTCCTAGTGGGTTCTTTATTTTTATTTTTCAGTTGACTTGGAAGAGTTCAAGAGTTCTGTCAGGAATCCCCTTCCGTTAGGGGCTTGTCTTTTTACTTGTCTCCTGTTGACCTTAATTTAAAAAGTCTCTTGTTTTAACCTTTTTCAGAACGCCAGTCGGAGCTGCCCACCCAGAGTAAGGCTAGCTTCCCCAGTATCCTCAGCGACCCTGACCCAGATTCTTCTAATTCTGGATTTGACAGCTCGGTTGCCTCTCAGATCACAGAAGCTTTAGTCAGTGGACCCAAACCTCCTATTGAAAGTGGGTACATTTGATTAATTTTACATCCTTAATTTTGTTCACCAGCATCCCTTCTGTTGCCTTGTGCTCTGAAACATCATGCTACATTCTTTGCTATTTCAATTGAATTTCGTGTAGAACTTTCTCGTATAGTGGGGTTTATTAAAAATTTGTTTCTTCTTAAGAAAAATGTACACACCAAATTTTCATTAGACCTGAAGGTACAAATTATCTGATTTGACTGAATGATTCTATTTTTATCATTTATGACTGTCTTGTATTATACTTCTTTAGGAACCATAGCACTATTATTACCTTTTAGATCTTAAAGTTGTATGGATTTTACTTTTGATTTACTTGAATGCAAAGGAGACACCTGTTATGTTAGCAGTAAAATAGCTGTCTTTTGGGCTTTGCAGGTTTTGGTACGGTTTAATGATGAAGATATGCCTTCTGCTTAGGGAAAAGAACTTACTCTCCAGATTACAGTGTCATCATGAACTTGAATTTACGAGTTTTTTTCTTTTTCTAATCATTTTATTGGGGGC